GTGAACTGCGAGGAGAGGAACACTACTGGCATCGAGCGCTTCACGCTGCAGATCCTGAACGTGTCTCAGGTAAGCGGATCGCCCGGTTCGCTGCTTGGTGTTATTCTGAACGCGGGAGCATGGTGGAAGAAGCCCCGTCAGCACCGTGTGTGTGTTTCTGTCGGTGTTTGGCTTTGCAGAATCACGGAATGGTTTGAGTTGGAAGAAACCTTAAAGAGCATCTAGTTCCCAGCCCCCTGCCATGGGCAGCTACTTGATAAATATTATTAAGTATCTAATCGTTTGCTGAATGGTGCATTCCTACATTGACTTTGACGCTGTTAAATATGTAACTGTGTGTGTTTTTCATCTGCTTTCTCTAAGGATTTGATGGAGTTCTTAAACCCAAACAGCAGTGACTGTACGTTAGTCTTGTTCTATACACCGTGGTGCCGCTTTTCTGCCAGCCTGGCACCTCATTTTAATTCTTTACCTCGAGCATTTCCAACTCTTCGCTTCCTGGCACTGGATGCATCTCAGCACAGCAGGTAACTTACACTTCCTGTGTTCTAGCATCAGCTTATTGCCTTTAGCAAGCTTTGTGTTTTAAAAACAGGATTGATTTTTAAATTTTTTTTTTAAAGCGACACATTAATTTAGTAAAACTGACACTTCCTGCACTGTGTCTCTCTTTGTTTCTTCACGCAGTGGAATTATTTTCCTTGATGCTTTGTATTTGCTTTATGTCCACCAGTTTATCCACTAGATTTGGAACCGTGGCTGTACCCAATATCCTCCTTTTCCAAGGTGCTAAACCTATGGCTCGATTTAATCATACAGACAGAACTCTGGAAACTCTGAAAGACTTCATTTTTAATCAAACAGGTAGGTAAATCAGCCCTGATGTGTCAGGAGGAAGAACAGGCTAGCTTTTAGCTCCAGACTGGGCTTTTCTCTCTCTGCTGTTCTTTAAAATTAATTTCATGAAGACCTTGAGATGACCCAGCAGAGGCTTATATGACCAGTTGCTGGAGTGAGCTGGGTTTCAGGGTGTGCTGAAAGCAGAAACTCAACTCACTGGGCTGCTGTCAGAGCAGGGGAAGCAGCAAGGTTTAGCCAGAGAGGGTGCTAGAGGGATTGAGCACGTCTTTCTGCCCAAATATTTCATCTGGGACTAGGCAGATGAACCTTGGGATTGTTGCCAGTGCCCTGTAAGGCTGAGAGCAGCTGGAGGATGAAACGGTTTCAGTTCTTTTGCTGGAGGAGGCAAAAGGATTCCAGTTTTGATGCTGTGGCGGTCTGTGTTGTGAGGTCAGTGCCAGTCAGCTCTCTGGTCCTTCTGGGAAGAAAAACAAAACAAAAATCATACATAGGTATATGAGGGCCTTCATTAGAGACCAGAAACTATTACATTTGCCAATATAGCAGGAATACTCAACAAAAAAAACCCCAAACCCCCAAACTTACTCAAGGCTGTGCTGTAGAAGGACAGACCAAGCCTTCTCCTGTTACGAAAATACACATAAAGTGTAAGTACATAAAGTGTAAGTAAACTGTGTGCTGGGTTCACAGTAACGTACGAGGACCATCCCACCAAACTTTTCAGTGTAGCTGTATGTGCGCCTCAGTCTGAGAGCAGGAACAAAACTCCGAAGAGAACCAACTTCTCTGTATTCAACCGATTACTGGTGTCGATCGAGTGCTTTCTTTTTCAGGCATAGAAGCCAAAAGCGACGTGGTTGTGACTGAGGAGGACTGGGAAGGGCCCCTGCCCAGCGTTCTGACCAAAGGCATAGACTGGCTGCTTCTGTTTTCTTTGCTCTTCCTGGCCAGCTTTGTCATGTACGCCACCGTTCGAACAGAGAGCATTCGGTGGCTGATCCCAGGACAGGAGCACGAACATCAGGAATAATCCGAGATGCTGAAACAGGGACAGGATTTCCCATTTATTGGTAAAGCGGGAATTTGCGTAGACTGGAAGTACGTAAGAATGAACTGATGAATTTGTTGGTTGGAACTTATCATCTTGACTAAAAATCCCCCTTATTTATCAGCTCCTGAATCTGTAAAAAGCAAATCCGTGGCAATTAGTGTGGTAAGTAAACAAACGTGAAAAAACATGAACCAAAAAAGTATTTATTAAGCTGCTCTGATCAGCTTGGTTTTTATGGACCTTAATGTAAATAGGCGATACAGTTCTCCTTTGCTCTTCTGAAGAGTCCCTGCGCTTTGTACCCCGAGTAAGATTTTGGCAGCTCACTGGCCCGTACGCGCGGCAGTGCTGGGCACAGGAGCAGAGCTCCTTCTGGCCCACTGCAGTCTGGGGATCTTCTTCTCCAGACCCTTCAGACGTATGAACGAAAGCTTTGCTGAGAACCATGTGGTAAATGCCACAGAGTTAGGATGTGTTTGCCCACGCAGGTCACGCTTGGGTTTTGACTCCTGTGTTCCCAGAACAGAACATTTTAAAGGAAAGCGCTGGTGAGTGGTGATGTTGCTAAATTAGTCTGACTGTCAGTAAAATGAACTATGTAGAAAAAGATGTTTTAAAAAATACTGTGCTTCAAATGAGTTATTCCCTTGTATACCAGCAATAGCAATTCAAAAATGTCTTAGAAAGCTCTTGACAGGGCGACTGTTTCCCACCTTTGGTGCTGGGGTTCAATGCTGGTTTCCTTGCTCACTGTGCTCTGTGAGTTTTGACTTTGTGGCAGTTCTGAGATTTAAAATAACTTCCAAAGCTCACCTTGTTGTGTGTGCACACAACTTATTTACCACATTCCTATAGAATTTGCGTTACTTGTCCTTACTTTTAAAAAAATATTTAGTGTACCCCTTTAAGCCACTACTTACAGGATTCTAAACACGCAGCTTCTGAAGTGCAGATCACCTGCCTAAACTAGCAAGGTGATGCTTAAGATTTATTTAAATTTCTGTGGAGCTGTTTGCACAGTTTGCAGCTGAAGCTGCATAAAGAATCGGTACGGGTTTTACTTATTAGTACAGAAGACCGAGTAAGGTAGGGATTGGCACGTCGCGTGGTTTTGGGATTATCTGATTGCGTAGCGTTTATCCATGGTGGAGCCTTGCCGTAGATCCCCGATAGGAAGCTTTAGAGTGCAAATTAAGCTAAGAAGAAACAAGGATAAAATTTATTGTTGGACAAAGAGCTCATAAACTTAAACACAAGGAAATACTTCTTCACCGTGAGGGTGGCAGCACTGGAACGGGCTGCCCAGAGGGATTGTGGAGTCTCTCTCTGTGGAGACTTTCAAAACCTGCCTCGATGTTTTCTGGTGTGATGTGCTCTGGGTGTCCCTGCTCTGGCGGGGATTGGACTGGGCAATCTAAGGTCATTCTATGATATGAGATGAGATGATATGATATGATATGATATGATATGATATGATATCATGATCTCCAGAGGTCCCTTCCGACCCCTGAGATTCCGTCATATCCCTGCCATGAAGTTCTTGTGGTGTTTTTCCTGGTGCCCCCTTTGGAAAGGTGAGGTCCTGTATTTCTGGGTGTTAAAAGCAAACTACACTGATAAAACTTTGGTATTACTGAAGATAAAACTTTGGTATTACTGAAGATAAAACTAGGAAGTCTTTATTTTAATAAAGTTTCACGATTTTTGAGGAAAAAATTGGAGTGTTCTTGCCTCTACCGTCTGGTTTGTGGGAAAGGCCCAGGGCTGGTTCTCCCAGCGATTCCCCCCACACCTTTACAGCAATACTGCCGGAACCAGCGCTGGTTCAGACGCCCCTTCCCCCGCTCTAACTCATGGCGATTTTCAGCGGAAATCGCTCACGAATCGCCCAAACTCGCCTTTAACCCAGGGCACCCGCGGCCT